TTCATTTGTAGGTAGCAGCATCCTTGGCCCCCAGCTTCAGCCCCTGAGTCTTTCCTTAGGCATTTTTTATGTGCCAGCCAGACAAAGAAGGCACAGTGCAAATAGGTGGGCTCATGCTCTCAAGCAAAATCAGGGTGTTCATGTCCTCAGCTGCATGCTAAAAACATAGTCCACTGGAAGCCTAGGTGAGGGTGCCTACCATGCCATCGTGGGCCTGCCTACAGTGGAGAGCCAGTCAGTCTTTTCCCAGGACAGGTGCTAGAAGGGTGTGATTGCTGAGGTATCGTCCACTGGTGGTTCCACATATGTATGCAAGATGCTAAAGCTGACCATATGAGCAGTGATGTCTGGGTTTGATTGTGGTGCATAGCTCCCCTGCTTTGGTGATATTACACACAATAGCATCATTAGGGACCTGGTTTCAAGAAAGACCTCACAGGCATTCTCTGTCCTATTCGTGTAACTTCTCCTGAGTTCTAAGTAATTTTAAAATAAGAAATCATAACAATATAGACCACCCTCAGCCTTGGTCCAGGAGAGTTAGTGCCCAGCCCAGAGGCTGGCACCTAGCTCCCTGGAGTCAGAGTGAATTTCCCTGTGGCCCAAGGCAGKACTCTTCACCATTTACTTTTGAGTTTTCTCATCTGTTCTTCATGTGATGAAGACTTTCAGTGGTACCCTTTATTCACATTTTCATTTTCTGCAGCTCGAGTTACCCATGATCAACCACAGCCTGAACATATTAAATGATACACTGAGATATTCAGAGAGAGCACATTCATATAAATTTTATTACGACATATTGTTAATAATTTTTCTACTTTATTCGTAGTCACTGTTGTGAATCTCTTACTGTGCTTACTTGTATACTTTGTTGGTGGTGTATATGTAGGGAAAATGTAGCATCAGGTCATGGTACTGTTTTCATTTTCAGGTATCCACTGGGGTTCTTGGCTTGCTTGTTTGTTTGCAGTGGATACAAGCCCACTGGAGCTCACTACACCTCCGGACATCTCCCTGTCTTCATTTCAGTCACCTGACGCGTGTAGCATTACATGCATGTGTAACTGAGGCACCCAACACACCTTCTGAGCTCTGAGCTTTGCTGGCCACTGGCTTCCAAACACCTGTGTGACAGGCCCCGCCCTCCCCAACTAGCTCAGGGGCCACCTTTTCTGCAATTTTTTTGCTGGCTGTTGAGACCAGTGACTGCTTCCAGCCCATGAGCGTTGCTCTCAGTTCCCACTTTTGCACATCACTCCTGGCCCTCAACTTGACCTCCCAGCACCTGGCATCTGACAGGCCTTGCTGAGGTTCACAGGGATTGAGTCTATTTTCAGTCTAGATCTTGGAACTAGTACATGTCAAAATTAGGGATCAATATGAGTCATTCTGAACATCAAGAGTGTAGAGGTCACCTACTCTTGCTTTCTTCCCAGGACATGGAAGTCTGCAGTGGAGTTAGCAGGAGGTCTTGATCCCTCGGATTTTGGAAGGAGAGGGCAAAGGAGACTGGCATTGCTCAAACTCTGGCTGGAGATGGGTGGGTCACAGTGCGCATTGACGGGAGAAGATTTCCTCCCTACCGAGAAGGAGAAGATTCATTTGTTTTCATTTTGTTTGACCAGGAAAGGGAGGAAGTGGGCATGTTAACCTCCTCGGTGCAGTGTTCACAGGTTAGTCAGCCCATAGGCACCTGAGCGCATCTGTTTGAAGGCCAGGAGGCGACCTAAACAAGACGTAGAGATTTATATGCTGTCTTGCTGTGATTGTACTGGGTGACTGACCCTGTGAAAATGCTTTGGTGCCATCTACTGCTGTCCATGGGTGTTTCTCCAGAGTATAAAAACGCCATCATAGAATGAAAGCTTTGGGGAAATTTTCAGATTAAATGGCATATGTGTCCTCGTGGCCTTAAAATTTACGGGAAAAGTTTTGAATGCTTTTAGTAAAGGTTCTGATTGAAATAGCTTCTGTTTTCTTTTGCTCAAATCAGAATCTGCATGTACAGTATTTCAGATGGATTCTTTCCCTAAGGAGATGGGCTATGGGGCTGGGCTTACCTGGAGGTGATGAGGGTTGAGCTTAAATGCACTGAGCATTCGGGGGCCTATGTGGGAGCCCAGTGTGTAGACTAGGGACGCGCACTGCAAGTGTATCTGGAGTCTGGGTGACCTCCTCAGACGTTTTTGTAGTGATAGGGTTAGCCTATTTGGAGAACAAGAACCATTTTGAAGGCGTTCCTTCATTCTAAAATTTACTTCATGCATTCTAACTWTAGCAAAATCCAGATTCATGAATGTGATTATTTATAACATCCCTGTACACACTATTATTTAGGGTAATTCATTTCATTTTTCTGATTAGATAGCATTAAAAGTCATAATTGCGTCCTGGTTCAGTTAACCATCTTAAATTACAAATGAATTCCACTTACTGGAATAGGTCTGTTGGTAACAGTTTCACAGTTGCTACATCAGCAGTGGAATGAACCTAAACTGTAATTGATATCTATTATCATGTAACCTAGTTCTATAATCCTTCTCAGAACAGTAGCATGTGTGTTTCTGGAAGTCACAGACCATATCACAGTTTGGCACTTTTATCATAGTTGGAGAGAATTCTAGGATTTGAAATTCTAAAAAATTAAGAACATTCTTAAAATGTAAATGCAGCAAGTTGTGAATCAGTCTGCCAGCTTAGTGATTAAGTTGGAGCGTCTTAGAGATTTTTAACATTAAAAACAAATTACTCCATTAGCATTTAATCAAAATACACAAAATGGATCACCGTACATGTGAATCTTGAACACCCTATGTATGATTAATGTCTTGGTTGAGGAAAGATAAAGTTTACGCTGCTTTTCATATAAACTGTAAGCAGTCATTCTTCTTATTTTTTTATTTCTCTAAAGATATTCTCTCTTCTCTTTTCCAGTAGAAGCTTCTGCTTTGAATGGTCTCTGAAGGGTATTTGTATTCAACCCCAAATGTCCCAGTGGTGATTATGTATAATATTATATTCCATGAAATAATAAATTTCCTCCACTCTTTAACAGAAGTTAATTTATTAAACCATAAATTGTTCATGAAGAGGAACCTGAAGGTGCTGCTTTGGTTTCCAACAGACTCTAAGCTCTTCAAAAGTTCCTGTCCGGCTAAGGACAGGAATCCATTTGCATTACAATAGCTATGGCAGGCTGACATTTGCCAAAATAATTTGACCAGAATCCAAAAGGGCACAACACACCTTAGTTTTCCAAAGTGCAGATCTCTGGGCCAAAAGATCAGAGCTAGGGAAAGCTTCACAGGTGTCCGGTTTCTTTGCCACCCACTTCCTGCTCTATGTCGATATACAACTAAATATATATATATATATATATGTATGTATATAATATGTGTGTGTGTGTGTGTGTGTGTGTGTATGATATATATTTTTCTTTTTTTTTTTTTTTTCTAATCCACAACTGTCCGTCCTACCTGGTTGATTTTGCTATGGTTTCATCTGGAAGCACTGGAATGGATGGCCTCCAGGCCTTCACTAAAGAGGCTACAGAAGCACACACACTGACACTGCACCACATAGACTGTGGGCAGGCACTGTTTCTCCCACATGTCACTTAGAGCATTTAGCCCTGCCTAGTCTGACTCTATCAGGGAAACTGCGGATACTCAAACCATTTTGACCTACCAAAATGGCAATCCACATGGTTCAGACTGTTAATAAACACACACTTGACAAATACTCTTTGGGAATCACAGTCACAAGAAGTCTATAAGTTAAAGAGCAGTAAATAATCATAATTTATTTATTTGTCCATAAAGTCACATCTTAAAAATTATAGTTGGAAAGAAAATCTGGAACTGACAATTACACACACCTTTCAAACCAGCCCCTCAACATCCTTAGCTACTCACAGTCCTGTTAGAACGGTGAAACAAACTAATGAAAGACAACAGCCACTAAGCAGGGTGACTCAAAATGACTTTCCAGGAAGGACCAGTGGCATCCAGTCAACAGCCCATAGCCACTCACATGCATGTTACCTAAATCTCTGTGCTTGAGGTCTCCCATGTCACATGGGCCACACAAAATCTCTCTTTATTCGGTGTGATGAACCAATGCATTTCCACACAGCCAGCATCCAGTGGAGGGCTCCACACACATGAGGATGTTGTTGTCAAGGGCTGTGAGGCCACAAGACGGTTCAGCATGGAATTAGGATAAGGGGAGATTTGCAGAAAGAAAAAGAAAAGCATTTTTCTGTGGACACTGCTTTCATTTGGGCTTTGGGGAAATTCTATGATTCAGAAAAATAAAATGAAGGCCATGTAGTATTTATGTGGTGCTGAGGATCGAATCCAGTGCCTTACCATGTGCCAGGCAAGCACTTCACCACTGAGCCACAACTTCAGCCCCCAGTTGTGGATTTTAAATCACAATCTTATACACCTCTTATACAATCTATACACCTTTAAAATATATAATATTTAAAATAACCAAGAGTGGCATAACTGATTCCTTTGTATTGATCCTGTCATTACTTGTTTGTTCTTGTATTTTACTGTTAAGCACCTGGAACACAGGAGACAGTCAATTAATAGCTGTAAAATGAGTRGATAAATCTTAAGACCCATTTCACATTTATATTTGCAGTGATCACCACTTGATTTCCTCCATATGAATGAGCCTCATGGTGATCTTTGCCTGAATGGGCCTTAAAGCCATCTGCCTCTCTGTTCCATCTGGTGTTGTTAACCACATGCAGTAAGGTGCTGCCCACTGCCTGTCACTGGCAAACACTATCAGGGATGTAAAAGCATTTTTCAATTTCAAGTCTACAGATCCATTTACTTTAAAGTCTAAAATCCAATATTATCTATATATTTTTATAAAAATTTAAAGAATGCAWTTAAGTGAGTATTTTACATGAAATCACAAATATGAATGTATTGTGTGGATCTGCGTGCACTAATGAGTGTGATGGTTTTATTTGGCAGTTTACGTGTGAACTTGGATATGGGCAAAGCAGCCTATGGATGGATGATCATGAAAGATGAGAATATCCCTGGTACAGTCGTTCGGACCAGCACTATACCAGAGGAACTGGGGCGCCTCGTGTACTTATTGACAGATAAAACAGGTACTCTGTAGTCTGTTTTCCATTGAGAGCATCAGAGCACATCCAGAAATGTTCCTGGTTTTACATGGACATGTGTGTGTTGTAAGAGAATGTTGAAGTAATGAAGTAATATGTAGAATTTTCCAGACTTTGTCTTTGAAAGTTGTTCRTACAACTTAATCTTCATCTTCTAATATGCACAGTATCCTTCAGGTTAGCAAAATGTTAAGTTCTTGGGACTTTAAGTGACCTATTTCTGTACTTTGAATTTTCTATAATTCTATAATTTTATAGGTTTTTTTCTAACAGCCTGTATAACAATTTTTGAGAGCAAAAATAAAATGCACATTTGTTTCTCATAAATGGATACTTCTGAGCTTTTAGAAGAAAACAAGGCATGTGAATTTGGTATTCTAATAATATTCTTCTTAAGAGTTTTACTATAAACTATTTATCACACCCTACAACTCTGTGCCCAAAACACTGCTTATCTTTATTTTGCATTTTTTTCTATTTTTATAAAAAAAAAACTCACATTAGTCCATCAAATGCTAAATAAAAAGATAAATAAGTCTACTGCTATAATAAAAGGTATAGCTTAAGGGTAAAATTTGTCCTTAATTTATCAACTCATAATTTTAAATTCCTAATAATTATTCATGAACTAGAAATGAAAGAATACTTATATAATGTGGTAAAGAAAATATTCCACATYATGTGTAATAATTACATAGTAGAAAAATTCTTGTAATCACCAGGAAGAAATGGAGAAATCTGTATACAACTATTACTTAGTATTTATTTTAGAAGATCTAGCCTTTGTAATAAGACAAGAAATCAAAATAATGTGTACAACTAAAGGAAGAGAGCACGTGTTTGAAGATATAAGAGTGACTGCAGAAATCAACTTATAGCTACTAAGTCTTAAGAAATCAGTAAAGTGTCAGGTTGCAGATTAGGTTGTCAGGTTGTAACCCCTTTATGTGTAGCTGTGGAACACACTGGAGAATAAAACTCCTTTCACGGTGGCACCTGTAGAGCACATGGATATGAACCTGCAAGGGCATGTGTAAAAAATGTAACAGAAGATTTAAATAAATGGAAATTCAGTATTCTGTAGGTGTATGGTCTCATGGTAAATTTGTAAGCTTAGTGCCATTCAAAATCCAATTTTGGAGTTTTGGGGGTTTTTTGTTTTGTTTTCTTTGGTATCAGGGATTAAACCTAGGGGGCACTCAACCACTGAGCTAAGTTCCCAGCCCTCATTTATTTTTATTTTGAGTTAGGGCCTTGCTAAMGTTGCTAAGGCTGGCCTTAAACTTGCAGTTATCCTGCCTCAACCCCTCAAGCCACTGGGATTACAGGTGTGTGTCATTGGGGTTTTTATTTGAATTCATTCAAGTTTATTTTCTGTGGTACATTGAGGTACCTGACCAAGAAAGGATAATGCTCATGACTCCAGATAACTCACAAATAACAATTGAGGGCCTTCTGATTCATGAAGGTAGAATGAGAACATGTATTAGGGTTTCCCTTCCCAACCTCATAGAGCTGACAGAAAAAAGTTTTAAAGAATAAATCTGTAAGGCTGGGGCAGTAGCTCAATGGTAGACCACTTGCCTGACACTTGTTAGGTGCTGGGTTTGATTCTCAGCATCACATAAAAACGTAAAGATATTGTGTCTATCTACCATCTATAAATATCTTCTAAAAAAGAAGAAGAAATCTATTGCACTGATAAAAAAAAAAAAAAAGCAAAGTACAATTAGAGTCACAGAAATGGGTTATTTCTAGGAAAGTTCTAGAACCAATTTGAGGGAGAAGCCAAAACAAAGCAAACCGAAGCTCACCTTTGCTTCCACAGAGAGCCCACTCAGATGGAGGGAAAGCTCTCCAGAAGGGAGTCCTGGAGACATATGGCCAGAAAGCCTGTGGGAGGACATGGAAACTCTGAGGGTCCCAGACAGCACCAGTCTGCCCCTTCATGTCCATGCCTGTGAAGCTGATGACTGCCAGAGTCTACTGTGGGCCAGAACTGGAGCCCTTGCCTTCTTCTCACTCGGAGGCCTGGGGAAGAATATGCTGATCGGCACATGAGTCCCTTGCATGAAACTCACAGACAGCACTTAGGAATGCCTGGAGAAAGTCCTACTTTACGGCCAGCCTTGTGCTGATTGATATATCAGTCAGAAGTGAAGATTGTACATGTAAAGTCAGGGTAGCTATATGAGCAAGCAGCCTATTCCCAAAGAAAAATACATAGCAAACCCAAAGGAGCTTTGGGAAAATTTTTAGGATTTAGGAACATTTGGTTATATGAGTAGGCTCAATACACAATGAAGCTGCAGTTTTACACACCACACCAGTAGACAAGACACTGGATATGGGAAATATCGGTGAGAGCACAGCATAACTAGAATGCAGCTAAAAGTAAGTTTTAACCCAGAAACGTGTCAACCAAAGGTAAAGCTCTTAAAGAAGACCAAAAGAGACAGGCAGGCACCCCCTCCACGCTGGAACTTCCCACGGAGAGGACCTAACAGGCACACATTTCATGAGTGGGATTTTTAAGTACAGCAAACATATGGCAAAGCAGGGCTTCTTCTAGGCTTTGGTACCTTGTAAGATAAGTTTTGCAGTATTTATCAAATTGAAGTGTGTACCCCGCCATCCAGCAAGTTCACTTCTACTTCTGTTCCCTAAAGACATGTTTGCAAATCTATGCCACAAGATATACACAAGAATTTTCTTAGCATTATTTTGGTCAACTAAAGCAAACAACTAATTGTCTAAATATAATTTAAAAAAAAAAAATGTTGGTCAGGAGTAGAATAGATAACCCGTGCCATGTCATGCAACTGAGTATTGAACAGCGTGACAGCTGAGCACAGGTCCTTAGGTGCTCACAGGTATATTATATATGATATATGATATTCACATATATCACAGGTATATTATATATTATATATATATATTATCAGGTATATTATATACCTCACAGGTATATTGTATATAATATATGATATTCAGACGTAATATCAAGCTAAGAAAAACACACAAGAAAAATCAATAGTGTTGACTGACAAAGATTTAAACTATAAAAGATTAAGCCATTTAATATGTAAATAAAAATTAGTGGTAAAGCTGTAATAAAACAAAGAAAAGAAAAATCATTAAGACAAATCAGAATCAAAAGATAGTTGATATGTCTTCCTTAATACCAAGCAAAATGAACTTTTAAAGCATTATTCAAGGAAGTGGATTGCTGCATAAAAATAGTAGTTGCAAGTCTTAAGTGTTTGTGCCCTTAAACAGCCTCAATCCACAAACAAGAATCAATAGACTACAGGAAGAAACTGATTATTACAGGAGGAAATTTTAGCTTCTCTTTAAATTATTGATAAGCCAAGCTGGCAGGAATCAGCCACAATATACAGGATTTGATAGAACCATTGCCAGCTTTGCCCTCCTGCTCACAGATGACATTGTCCATCTGATGCTGGTAACGGGCATTCTCATCAAATATGGAAGACTCACAAAGGTTGGACATGAGTTAGGCCCTGATTCAATCAGTGAATTCCAAAGTGTAGGGATACCTGCCTAAAATTAAAAAAATAAAAGGTAGAAGTTTGGGCTGGGGGTTGTAGCTCAGAGGTAGAGCACTTGCCTAGCATGTGTGAGGCACTGGTTTTGATTCTCAGTACCACATTATGAATAAATGAATAAAATAAAGGTCCATCAACAACTAAAAAAATATTTTAAAAAAAGTAGAAGTTAAAAATCATAAAATGATAAGTTCTTTAATCCCAGTACGTTGCGAAGTTGAAGAATACACTTTAAAATGACACATAGATACAAAAAGACTTAGCAGAAATTTAAAAATTCTTTGCCAAGCACTGTGGTGCACACCTATAATCCCAGCAACTCTGGAGGCTGAGGCAGGAGGATCCCAAATTCCAGGCCAGTCTCAGCAACTTAGCTAGGCCCTAAGGTCTCATCTTAGTGAGACCCTCAAAATAAAAAGGGGCTGGGAATGTTGTTCAATGGCTAAGCACCAGTTCAATCTCCAGTACCAAAAAAGTTAAAAATTTTAAAAAATAAATAAAAATTATCAGAACTAAATGATASAATTGTTTGCCATCAAAGCTGGTGGGATGTTTTAAAAGCAATGCCTTATAGGAGCTTTCCTCCATTTTTAATAGAAAAAGAAGAGAGGCTAAAAACTGATAATCTTTGATGGCCATCTTAGGAACAAGAAAACAAAGCCAAATGCATAGAAGAAAAAGATCTTAAGACACAAGAGCAGAGATAAATGATATGGTACACAAGACATCAAGTAGGCCATGGTGGTGTACCTGGGGCCCAGCTCGTCTGCTCACCACAGGTTGCTTGAGCCCAGGAATTTGGGCCATCCTGGGCCACACAAAAAGACCCTGTCTCTATTTTTTAAAAAATTGGCCAGACCAGGTGTGGTGTCACACACCTATAACCCCAGTGTTTGGGAGGCTCAGACAGGAGGATCACAACTTCAATTCCAGCCTCAGCAGCTTAGGCCCTAAACAACTTATCAAGACACTGTCTCAAAATAAATAAAAAGGGCTGGGAATGTGGCTCAGTGGTTAAGTGTCCCTGGGTTTGATCCCCAGTGCCTAAAAMATAAAAAAGCCTTGGCCAAATGCAAGTTGAAGGCTGAGGCAGGAGGGTCTCAAATTCGAGACTAACCTGGGCAACTGAGCAAAACCCTGTCATAAATTTTTAAAAGTTGAGGGGCTGGGGATATAGCTCGGTGGTAAAGTGCTTGCCTAGCATGTATGAGGCAATGGGTTCAATTCTCAGCACCACATATAAATTAATAAATAAATTAAATAAAGGTACATCAAGAATTAAAAAATATTTTTAAAAAAAATGAAAGCTATTAAAACATTCTGAGGAAACAGTTGTAGCACTGCGAACAATGAAAGAGAAAGGTAGGTTAGAAACCCCTGACACCARCCCTTCAAGACATGCACTCTCAACATCCA